TGTTTGTATGAGGTATACACCAATACAACTTCGGCGAAAGAAATCTGGGAAGCATTGGAAATTAAGTACAAGACGGAAAAAGAATGTACAAAGAAATTTTTGATTTCTAAGTATTTTGATTTTAAATTCTTAGAAAATATCCCTATTCTTCCCCAAGTGCATGAGTTTCAAGTGATTGTCAACAAATTAAAGGCGGTGAAAATTGAGATACTGGAGACCTTTCAAGTGAGGGCTATAATTGTCAAACTTCCCGGAACTTGGAAAGGATATCGGAAGAAGATCATGCATAGTTCCTAAAATTATTCTTTGAAACAATTACAAAAGCATCTTCGAATCGAAGAGAAGTCGAGAATACGTGATAAAACTGAAAATTCTCATGAGGGCTCTTCTAAAGCAAATACTGTGGAAAAAATAGAACCGCCGACAAAATCCAACAAAAGGAAGCCTTCTAGGAACTTTAACAAGTCCAAGAAGAAGACAAAAGGAGGTTGTTTTGTGTGTGGAAAATCTAGTCACTATGCCAAGGATTGTAGGCACCGAAAACAAAATAATTCCGAGGCCAAAGTGAATTTCATCCAAGATGACAAAATTGTAGCCACCGTAAGTGAAGTAAACGCAATCAAAGGAAATGTTCCCGGGTGGTGGTATGATACTTGTGCTGCGGTATATATATCATATGATAAATCTTTGTTCAAAACTTATCAAGAAGTGGATGGAGAACAAGAGATTAAAATGGGTAAAAAGATGTGGTCCAAGGTGTTTGGAAAAGGAAGTGTAGACATTATCTTCACTTCCGGGAAAACCGTTACTCTAGCTAATGTACTGCATGTTCCGGATATAAATAGGAACCTAGTTAGTGGCAATCTCTTGAAAAAATCGGGCATCAAATGTATTTATGAGTCCGGCAAACTTGTACTATCCCTTAGTGGAAAATTTGTTGGAAAAGGCTATTCGTGTGAAAGAATGGTCAAATTATGTACCGTTGACAATAAAATGAATAAAAGTAATTTTGCTTATGTTGTGAATTTAATTTCACTATGGCACGCTAGATTAGGTCATGTTGGTAGAAATACAATGAAACGCATGAAAAAATATGACTTGATCTCATATGATGAAAATGATGAACATAAATGCAAAATATGTGTAGAATCTAAAATGATTAAAAAACTATATCAAAGTGTTAAAAGAACCTTTAGTATTTTAGAATTAATTCATACTGATATATGTGAACTTAATGGTATGTTAACTAGAGGTGGAAATAAATATTTTATAACTTTTATAGATGACTTTTCTAGATATACTTATGTTTATTTAATAAAAAATAAAAATGAAGCCTTTGACATGTTTAAGACATACAAGAATGAGGTTGAAAATTATCTAGGAATGAAAATTAAAATTTTAAGGAGTGATAGATGTAGTGAATACTTTTTCGATGATTTTAATTTGTTTTGTGAACATGGAATTATTCATCAATATTCTGCACCCAGGACACCCGAACAAAACGATTTGGCTGAAAGAAAAAATAGAACATTTGTAGAAATGATAAATGTCATGCTTATTCATGCTAAGTTGTCATTTAACTTGTGGGGTGAAACTTTATTAAGTGCATGTAGAATACTTAATAGGATTCCTTCAAAATATACTAAGGTTTCTCCTTATGAATTGTGGAAAGAAAGAAAATCGAACATTGGATACTTCAAAATGTGGGGGTGTCTTGTCTATTGCAAGAACACGAATCCTAATAGGACCAAATTGGGTTCAAGAGACATTAAATGTGCCTTTGTTGGATATGCAAACATTAGCAAATCTTATAGATTACTAAATTTGGAGTCCAATTTGATTATCGAATCCAACGATGTGGAGTTCTTTGAGGATTCGTTATCTTCGGATAATGAATTGAGGGAAAATCTTGAAAATATCCCTAGCTCAAGTGGAACACATGATGAAATATTTTCTAAGGATGTTGATGAATCTAGTGAACCACGAAGAAGCAAGAGAACTCGAGTTGAGACGTCTTTGGGATCGAATGAAATCGATTCTCAACTTATCTCCTTTTACTTAGTAGAGGGAAATGAGTTGAATGTTGTGAGAACAATTCCTTTCGTTCTACAAGTAGAAACCGACCCTAAGACTTATAAAGAAGCTATGACTTCTCGTGATAGCACTTTGTGGAAAGATGCAATTAAGGACGAAATGGATTCGATAATGTCCAATAATACTTGGGAACTTGTTGATTTATCATCGCGATCCAAGCCTATTGGATGCAAATGGGTATTTAGGAGAAAATACAATGTTGATGGATTCTTAAATACCTTCAAGGTTAGATTAGTAGCCAAAGGATATCGACAAAATGAAGGAATCAACTATTTTGATACTTATGCACCGATAGCTAGAATAACATCGATTAGGATATTATTCGCTTTGGCTTCAATATATAACTTGCATGTTTATCAAATGGATGTCAAGACGGCATTCATAAACGGAGATCTCGATGAGGAGGTCTGTATGGAACAACCTGAAGGGTTTGCCCTACCTGAAAATGAACATAAAGTGTGCAAGTTGGTGAAATCTTTATATGGTCTAAAGCAAGCACCAAAGAAATGGCATGAGAAGTTTGACTTAGCAATAATATCATTCGGGTTTAAACATAATAGCGTTGATAAATGTTTACATTCTATAGTTTGTGATGATTATGTGACATTTATATGCTTGCATGTTGACGACATGCTGATTATGAGTAATCACAGGACGGAATAGAAGAAACAAAAAGGTTTCTTTCTTCCACATTCAGGATGAAGGATCTTGGACAAGTGGATACCTTTTAGGTATCAAAGTCACAAAAACTAGTGGGGGTTACTATCTAAGTCAATCACATTATATTGAGAATGTGATAAATAAGTTCAAACATTTGAACATAAAGGAATGTAGTACCCCGATTGATCCAAGTTTAAAACAATAAAGAATGATGGAAGGGCGATTGCTCAATTGGAATATGCAAGTGCTATAAGGAGTCTTATGTATGATGTTCAATGCACATGACCGGATATAGCTTATGCAATAAGTAAACTTAGTAGGTTTACTAGAAATCCAAGTAATGATCATTGGAAGGCTATTGTGAGAATTCTTGGATATTTAAAGAAAATCAAGAACTTGGGCCTACAATATACTAAATTCCAGACGATATTGGAAGGATTTACCGATGCTAGTTGGATATCTAGCAAGGGTGAAAGCAAATCCACTTCGGGTTGGGTATTCACTCTTGGAGAAGGTGCTATTTCTTGGAAATCAAAGAAACAAACATGTATAGCACACTCGATCATGGAATCTGAATTTGTAGCTTTATCGGATACTGGGAAAGAGGCTGAGTGGCTTAAGGATCTCTTATATGAGATACATTTGGGATCGAAGAATATCTCTTCAATATCTATCATGTGTGATGGTCAAGCCACATTAGCAAAGGCATATAACGAGGTATACAATGTAAAGTCTAGACATATGAGTCTGAGACATGACTACATAAGGAAATTAATCAAAGATGGAATAATTTTCTGAAATTATGTAAGGTCAATTGAGAATTTAGCGGATCATTTAACTAAAGCACTAAATAGAGATTTAGTGGCATCTACTTCGATTAGGATGGGGTTGAAACTCCTTAATTAAAAAGGTCCACCAATGACGACAACCCTACCTGTCATTACTCAAAAGGTAATCCACGGGTTCAAAAGGTAACAACAAATCATTCGATATGCGGATAGTTGCAGCATTATCTAAATCCGCAATGACCCTATCCTAATTAAATAATGCTGGTTGTTACTAAAGTGAGGGTTGAGAATTAAAACTCTTAATGAAGTTCAGTGCTAAAATACAAGTATCTCTAAAAGTAACAAAGATATTTGAAGAACTTCACCTAAATGAATTTCAAAGTGGTGCCGCCTCAATAGAGAGTTAGAGTTTCTCTCTTAAAAGTTCATTAAATAGGATGAGCGCAAGGCCATAAAAGCGCTAAGCGAGTTGAGGAACTTGAGAACATGTGATACTTATATGTGTGTTCTTACCAGTATTGTCACAAGGAATAATTGGTTCAAAGCTTCCATGCTACCTCTAATTCCGACTTTACTTTGTTGGAATTACACTATGGTTAGATTCAAATCGAAAGATATCTAATCCTTATGCATAAGTGTCGTCATTTTGAATATGTGATCGTATTGATTTTGAACAAGTGGGGGATTGTTGAAAATTTGTTCAAAATCAATGGAATGATAATGGACTTATTGTTGGGCTCAATTATGGAATTGGTAGAATCAAAAGAAATTGAAAAATGCAAAATTTGATGTTTTGCCTATGCGTACGCACATGCTTAATTTTGTGCGTACGCGAAATGTGTTTTGACAAAATCAGAATTAAATTTTGCTTCTACTATGCGTACGCACGGTTTATACTATGCGTACGCATAGTGTTAAGGAATAGCCATTGGCTGATTTTTCAATTTGGAACTTGGGAGGCATTTTGGACTAAAAGTTGCCACTTTTCATCTTATTTTGGCACCATTTCGTGATGCATTGATTGAGACCTATAAATAGGCGATGAATGATCAATACAAACATAATTAGATTCATTGAAAAATAACTTGAGATTCATATATCATTCCATATTGAATCAAACTATTGATTTACATTCATATTCAAGATCTTCTTTTGTGTTCTTAAAGTTTTGAAGGATTGCACTTGTACTTTGGTATTAAATCATTTACAAGACTTGATATAATCCTACAAACTGTTTGCCAAAACCCTTAAGCATCTCATTCAATCCCAAAAGGGAGCAAATATAGTTTGAGGACAACGATCTCGTGTTCAAGTCTCAAATTCGTTCTTGACGTATTACGTGATTTTTATTCATTTTATTTCTATAATTTTATAGTTGTTTCTTTTTCAACCCCTTAATTTTCAACATTATCTTCTGTGGATAAACAAACCTTATCCACTAAAAATCTCTTATTTCAGACGTTTTAGTCTTGAGATTCTTAAATTATGTTACAGTTATTGGTTACGAATCCTCCAGCTTCTTTTCATAACAGTCATTTGTTACACAATATACACTTTTGTGGCATCCATGGAGGCCATAAATTCACTGCACTGTTTCAACTTCAATCCCTCACTTCCTCGACTACTTCTCACTAAAAATCCACAAAAAAATTATGCAGCCAATTTCAGCCTGCTCAATGTTGCCGAAACCTCACCTGAAAATTCAGTTTCAGATTCTCTTGAGCCTTTATCTTCTAATTCCTTGTCAACTCCTTCTTTATATAATGACTTTAATGAACATAAATCCCTTGATTCTGTCAAAGAAAGCCATGCCCGGATGATAAAAGTATCCAAGAAATGGAATTCAGTTGAAAATGTGCAGTCTTTGATTATGTCTTACTTGGAATTTGGTGATTTTCGATCTGTTACTATGATTTTCTTTGTGGGTTTTGCACAAAACTATTTGTATTGGAATTCTTTTGTTGCAAATTATAAGAATTTTGGTGGAGACCCTAGTGAAATTCTTGAAGTTTTTGCTCAGTTGCATAATAAAGGTGTGAGATTTGGAAGTGAAGTTCTGACAATTGCTCTAAAACTTTGTGCAAATTTAGAGGATATATGTTTAGGCCGGGAAGTTCATGCTTGTTTGATCAAAAGGGGATTTGATTTGGAAGTGTACCCTAAATGTGGATTGATGAACTTTTATGGGAAATTTTTAGGTTCAGATAGTGCTACTAAGGTGTTTGATGAAAGTTCAGAACACAACTTGTTGTTGTGGAATGAAGCTGTTTTGGTACATATGAGGAACGATAGATGGTTGCAGGCTCTACATGCATTTCGCGATATGCAATTTTCATCTGTAAAGGCTAATAGCCTAGTGATTGCTAAGGTTCTAGAAGCTTGTCAAAAACTGGGAGATCTTGAAGCGGGAAAACAGATACATGGGTATGTTATTCGAAATTCAGTTGAATCAGATATTTTGATATGCAACTCTTTGATTAGTATGTACTCGAAGAACGATAATCTTGAACTTGCTCGAGCTGTATTTGATCTAATGGGAAATCGCAACTTATCGTCATGGAACTCAATCATCTCGAGTTATACTGCCGCTGCCTGTATAGATTATGCGTTGGAGCTATTTCATGAAATGGAAACTTCCAATGTGAAGCCAGACATTGTAACCTGGAACTGTCTTTTGTCGGGACATTTTTATCGTGGATCACATCGAGAGGTACTGAACATCCTGAAAAAAATGCAAGTTTCAGGTTACAAGCCAAATTCAAGGTCCATAACCACTGTTCTTCAAGCAGTAAGTGAATTACGTTCCCAGAATTTTGGGAAGGAAATCCATTGCTACGTTATAAGAAACAGGCTCGACTATGACTTGCATGTAGGAACTTCTTTGCTGGACATGTATGTGAAGAATGATGACTTAACGAGTGCTCAAGATTTTTTTGATGGTATGAAGAATAGAAATATTTTTGCTTGGAATTCTTTGATTTCAGGATATTCATTCAAAGGAAATTTTGAAAGAGCTGTGAGCCTTCTGAATCAAATGCGGGAAGCAGGAATTAAACCTGATATAGTGACATATAACAGCATGATTTCTGGTTATTCAATGGCAGGATGTATCAAGGAAGCTTTAGTGATGATTCGTGATATCAAAACATTAGGCTTGAATCCAAATGTTGTTTCATGGACAGCTCTAATATCAGGTTGTTCACAAAAAGGATACCATAAAGATGCACTTGAGTTTTGTATCCAAATGCAACATGAAAGCATTAAGCCAAACTCAACGACTATTCTGAGCTTACTTCAGGCTTGTACAGGCCTTTCTTCGTTACAGAAAGGAAGAGAAATACACAGTTTTAGTATCAAAACTGGTTATGTAGAAGAAGAATTTGTAAAGACAGCTATCATTGACATGTATAGCAAGTGTGGCAGTTTGATGAATGCGTATAATGTTTTTCAGAAAGTCGAGAGCAAGACATTAGCTTCTTGGAATCCCATGATAATGGGATTGGCAATTTTTGGCCGCGGTAAGGAGGCGATTTCACTTTTTCAAAAAATGCAAGAAGAGAAAATCCAGCCTGACGATATAACCTTTACAGCTCTTCTCTCTAGCTGCAAACATTCTGGTTTGATTAATGAAGGCTGGAAATATTTTGACAGTATCAAGAGTGATTATGGAATAGTCCCCAAAATCGAGCACTACTCGTGTATGGTTGATCTGCTTGGACGAGCGGGATATCTTGACGAGGCATGGGATTTCATTGAGACGATGCCTATAGAGCCAGACAATACAATCTGGGGCACTCTTCTTGGATCATGTCAAATCCATTATAATCTCGAGCTTGGAGAGTTATCAGCGAATAAACTTTTTGAGCTAGAACCACACAATCCCGTTAACTATATCTTGATGATGAACATCTATGCAGCTTCAAACAGATGGGATGATGTGGACCGAATCAAAGACTTGATGGATGGTAGGGGAGTCAGAATTGGGCATGTTTGGAGCCAGCTACAAATTAATCAGACGGTTCATGTCTTCTCTGCAGTGGGGAAACCCCATCCAGATGAAGGAGATATTTACTTCGAATTGTATCAGATAATTTCAGAGATGAAGTATTTGGGATATGTACCAGATACTAACTGTGTTCATCAGAAAATCAATGAGGTGGAGAAGCAGAAGGTACTGCTTGCTCACACTGAAAAACTTGCGATTACGTATGGATTGATCAAGTTGAAAAACAAAGCACCAATTAGGGTGATCAAGAACACCAGAATATGTTCAGACTGTCATACAGTGGCAAAATACATGTCGTTGTTGAGAAAGCATCAAATCATCCTTAAAGATGGCGTCCGCTTTCACCATTTCAGGGAAGGGAAGTGTTCCTGCAATGATTTCTGGTAGTATAAATGCTCTTTTCACATAGTAGTAAGTAAGATCAAAAGCACTTCACAGTATTTAGGGTAGGAAAAAAGTTGAAATCTTGTCAATTGTATTGTCAAGTCCTATCTTATTACTCCGTGCAGAAATGTCATCAGCAATCAGTTCTCATTGAAGGAATTTCTTCTAAAAGCAGTAGGAACATAGCAATGAAGTGGAGAGATGATATCAACATATGGAAAACAGCAATCAAAGCATACACTGATACACAGATTTATAATGTAAGAGCTACATTCACTTGTCGATGTAGGTCAATCTGTAGTTGAGGGATGAGTTCACATTACGATTAGGTCCCAAAACATTCAGAGTGAGAACTCCAGTTGAGGGACATAAAGGTTGACAAAAACTGAAAACCTTTTAGCTTAAAGATGTAAATAGTTAAGCCTCTGTACAGAGATAATTCTTGAGAAATTAACGCATTGTATTTGAATGATGAATAAGATGAACAGAAAATGAAAGAATGTAGATTTCAGTTCAATGAATTACTATTCATGTAACGTAATGGAGTTTTTAGGCTCTTATGTTGCTTTACCATGTTCAGCAGTTGCAGGATTTTCAGCCCACTTTTATGTGTCAATTACACATTGCATGGAACTTTCAAGAGTTGTTTGTTCAACTGGATAAAGTTTAAACGTGATCAAAGAAGAGACTGACAAAATTTATAAATTATCTTGTTCGGACTTCCATTTTGCATTGTAGTAAATGATCATACAAGTTCTCTGATGGATCAATAGGTTATAGATGTTCTTCCTTCCCTTTCTTCTTTCCTCAATCGTGTAGACTTGGGGCCGGCAGCCGAAAAAGTATGGGAGCTGCATGGCCCACCTTTACATTGGCCTCCGATTCTTAGCTGACTTCCAACAAGTGAAGACTGGAAACGAGCAACAAAATCGTTAAGGACGGGTAGTGGCAAACTATGAGAGGAGAAATGTTGTTTATCGTACTGTACACCAAACATTTTATTGTACTGTATACCAAACATTCTATAAATCTTGACAAGTCAAAGAGCAGAAAGATATTGAATAATTGACTAATAACACTAATCAGTTATGAGTTGTCCTCTTCTTGTCAATACCGATCATCATCCACAATAAGACATAACAATTGGGACAAAAATGAAGTCGAAAACATAAAAACCATTCAGAAAGCAGCAACCTCAGATCATTTTGAAGCAAGGATTGACTAGGTAATGAGAGCATTGGGAATTGTTTACCCAAACCTTGGAAAAATTATGCACTCTATTTACAAGGCTTTGTACCATTATGATTGAGTTTCCCACAGGTTATATAATACATGAGCAGTAAACCAACACTTTCTTACAGATTTAGATACAGGCATCATCGCATGATAACTCATCCTACAGACATAACTAAAATCTAAAATTGCGAGGATAAGCAAACCCTCTATTTTCTGGTGTATCTGATGCAATTGCAGAAGGCAAACCCTTATAGCTTAAAAGCCGAGAAAGAGAATATGCGCAACCAGTCTATCCAAATAGATTAAAATCTAAAATAGACAACTCAGAATTGATCGACGGCCTTGAACCGACCTTGCAGTGCCATTCTCTCCGAGACAACAGCCAAAGATTTGAGATTGCAGTTTATTACAGCATTCACGAAGTAGCACGTCTCGTCTTGAGTATTACCTTCAGGCACATCCACCACAAATGATTCGATAACCATCGCTCCTGGTATCCCATCAATTATCTCAGGATGGACAGTAATGACTGAAGAGTAATTCTGCAAGATCATCAATATAAAAGATACAAAATTTGGTTAGTGAACTTGAACAGAAAGAGAGGCTAAAGATTGCTAAATTCAGCAAAATCAAAATGAGAAGAATAATATTATCTACAAGGATTCCACAAACAATCAAATTTAGGAGTTCCAATGGGGATGGAAGCGAGGATGCTCTTGCATACACAGTAATCTTACATAAAGAACTAGTATTTACAAAAACATTGATCTCAAAATATCCGCGGCAGTTCAAAAGGCTAGAGCATCACAACTATAGTAATGAAATTTAAAAGCCACGAGAATTTTACACAGCTGATGAGGAAATCCTGATTCACATTATGACAACCAGTGTGCATGTATATGTAGAAAAAGTTCATTCATACTTCGTTTTCTCCTTTCGCAATTTCCCCCTTTGTCGTTCCCCATTTTAGCAAAGGATTCCTCTTTCTATTTTTGAGGAGAAAAAATTAATAGACGAATAGGCCTTTATATAGTTGCATAGTTTGTCAACAGCAAGGATAAATTGTACCTTTTTTGGAAAGATTGCACTATTGGTCCACCAATGTATTCCACTGATTAGCAAGTTGGCCCATTTCGTTATAGTTGCACAATCAGTACTTAATGACAGAAGCTGTCCAAATTTTTGTTAAATGTTCATGGCCCTCTGGATACCAGTCAGTGTTAGATGGCAAAATCTAGCTTCATAAAGTCGGACATGCCATGGACATACAGCGGTTTACAGAGATTTGAATTGTTTGTGCCCTTACCGGTTGTGCAACTAAAGTTAAAATAGTGACCAACTTGCACCTTTTCGAAGGTTGAGCTAATGGTGCATTTTTTCAGTATTCTATTTCCTGATCAACTCAAATAATTAGAACTTGGCCAGTAATTATAAGGGTCGCAAAGAGCAGCTTCAACAGTGTATATATTACCTCAAGGGATAAAAGATCACTACATACGAAATGATAAAGGAATGCCCTTACCTTTAGCCTGTGATCACCACCAACAATCTTGATGCCAAGAATGTGCTCTTGATCATCAAGCAGTTCCAGCATCTCAGTGCTCGTCGTGGCAGGAAGTCCTGACTTCACATTCACCTCTCTAACACTCCCAATCTTAAAATCATCTCGCACGATGCATCTGCTAACAAAGGGTTTATACTTCTGAGGCTGATCAAATCTCCTAACTGCTGACCAAACCTAAAAGAAGGTACAAATATAAGTCTTTGGATACCAAAACTTAAACAAAAGACACAAAATTTCAAACAAGTAATACCGATTTAAGCTCATTAAAGCACACAAAGATTTCATTCCCAATTTTGAGTTTCCCAAATCAACATATATACAAGAGTTCACATTCAAAAATAATAAGATGATACAGATCTGAATGTGTTCGCAAGCTTTTTGAGCTTCTATTATACGTACATCTCGCATATTTCCTCTTATCCGGAGAATGAAAAGTTTGGCAAATGGTGCCTCGTATGCTTCATGCGCTTACTCATCTATATGAAATGAAAATATTCGTTATTTTACCATCATATGATCTCTCCCACAAATCTCAACTATCAGAATTTCGTTTCCTAATTAACTAGAACATCGACTATTCTATTTGCAATCAAACGAAAAGCAATCGAAAATTTCATGCAGGGCCGATTCTGGCCCAGTGGCCTTGGGCCTCAGGATGAAATGGGGCCTCAAAAAGTTTTCCAAAGCCCAAAAATAACTATTATGGAATTTCCTCATATTTTATGGTAGTGCAAATAAAGTAAGGGCCTTTCTACTAATTACGTCTTTCAATTTATGGCTGCTTTTGAATTTTTTTTTTTAAAATATAAGATATTTTTTATAATAAATAGTAGGCATCATCCTCATACGTCACTGATTTTCATTAAATCTTTATATTATATTTTTTGAAAACGAAAATTGATTCTCTAACCAATCAAACGATGAGTATCAAAGGTATAATATTTCTTATCATGAAAAACTATTTGATTCAGCCATGTTTGATGCCAATATGCTTGTAAAAAAATTATGTGTAAGGGCCTCATGATAATTTATCGTCTAGGGCCTAAAAATTTTCAGGACGGCCTGGATTTCATGTGCTATATAAAATGTGAAAATACATTTATCACCAAATATTGATCCCTTGGAAGAAATCTAGTTTTTCACATGTAAACAGAAACAAAAAGAAATAGGGATTTTAACCTTTAAAAACCCAAATTTCACAGCAGCGTATCAAAGTCAATTTCTAATATAAAATACACTCCCTTGATGTATAAAACATGAGAAACATTATAAGTACAAAATATTTTCGAGAAACAATTATATTTTCCAAGAAATAATAGGAACCTGTTTACAATCATCATATATAACTTCTCTTCTATATTTCATCATCAAATAATGCATAAGACTTCATGAAGATAGCAGATAAGCCAGAATGCAAGGAGAAAATGCAAAAGCCAATATGAAACCCATAAATAAAAAACTGAAAATTATAAACAAAAAAATATAAAAATCATAAACACACATAAATTTTCAAAAATGAAACAAAGAGAGAGAGATCACAATATCAACAGGAGCTTTGATGTGTTTGACAACAGAGGAAGAACATTGGTGCGCTCTTGGGTGGTGCCTGTGGTGTCTAATTATGTACTGTGCCTCCATTTTTTCTTCTTCAGAGAATAATACTATTCATAAACTAACAGGACCAAGAAACAAAAATAATTCTTGGTGCACAAAATCTTGAGAACGAAAGTGACTGTTCACGACGTGAATTTTGTTTGTGTGAAACTACAGTCCACAGCCTTGACTTGGAAGCCTATCAAGAAATAGAGATGTGGATTGTGGAGGGTGACAAGGAAAAATTAGAGTTGAAGTCTCCAACCTATCGAAAAGATGGCAAGTCCCTCAACTTTTAATTTTTGCAGCCGTCAAGTCCTCAACAGACAATATTACCCTGAATTTTCATTATAAAAATATAATTTTTTTTGTTTAAATAAACAAAAATACAAACAATAAAGAAAACGACTTTCATTCATCATGAGCTTGGACAAACTTGCGAGGGTGAGTTTTTCCTTTTATTTTTATCCGATGTTTTAAAAATCTATCCAATTATCAACCCGAAAAAGAGAAATAACTAATAGTCAAAAAGTTGAACTAGGGTGATTTAAAAATATACATTTACAAAAATTTTAAAAATATACTTTCAAAATTTTGTAAGAACATATATTTACATAGTTTAAACCGGCTAAATTGGGAATGGGTCATGGGGTTTTTCAGAAGTAAGTTGATTTAACTGGGATTTTTAATTAGAGATTTTATAAGTCTAATTGGACTGATTTTTAATTTTCTCGATTGAACCGACGGGGCGATTTGATTTCTAAAACATTATTTTTATCTTTCCTACTTTTTGTTTATATAATTTTTTATTAGTTAAAAATAGGGATGACAAAATATAGTCCACCATGCATTAACTCATCTTGAATGCCACCACACGGGTAATTCGAGATATGAAGCATTATTCCCACCTAAATCTCATTTTATATTTTATTTTAATATCTTTAAATTTAAATCATATTTAAAAAATAAATAAGTAAATGAGATAATAAATTGAGATTTTTAATTTCAATCTCGTTCTTGTTCCAACTTTCGAAAACTTTTATCTGAACGGTGAGGGACTTATGGGATTCTCATTACTCTATTGCTATCCCTAGCTTAACTAAAGACAAAATTGTATTCTTAACAAAAGCATTAAAAAAAATGAAAATACACTGAGTTATTAGTTAAACACAATAGTAAAATCGTCAACTAGGGATTTGAATATTACGAAACGGAAAGTAAGGACCGACACGGCCAAATATTAAGTTGGGGACCTCATCTGTAATTATCCTTTATTTATATCAGATGTCATTATTGGACGGCACCGACAAGCCCGCTAATTGGTTGATCATAAGCCCACACCTACTTTTTTTGGGCCCTAATTTCATCTTCTACACTGGTTACTACATTAAAAAATGTTCTCTCTTTTGCTTTTGTTTAATATTTAATTTAAAAAAAAATAGTGATGCCAACGTCATTCTTACTTTTTTAAGACTGTCTGAGATTTTTTTGACACTTTTAAGGAATTTATTGTCAATGGTTATCCAAAACATCTATTTTGTGTCGTAGGGTGGGAGGTTGTAATAATCAATGAGGATTAGATTGCTGGGGTTTGGTCAATTTGGTTTAGTTACTTGAAAAGTCAAATTGATAATGCAATATACAAATCCTGCATTGAATTATCTTCAAGATTTTAAGAGAAAAAAAATGACATAATGATGCATTTTGTCATCGACTTTGGATCAATTTAACCTCAACTAATTCATCTCACAAAACTTTTGAAAAGTCAAAAGTACTTCTAATACTATGAAACTGCTTTTCAAATATTTTAATAATTTTATGGAAAGTGCTTTATCAAGCTGGAGAAAACGAACTTGAGATAATTTTTTCAAGAAGCCCTTATACAAAAAATAGAAGCAAAAGTGTAAGGGCTGAAAAACGGGCCCTAATGTACATCGATTCGTTAAAGGTAATGCTATTTATCTTTTGATTATCATTATTTTACGTCACGGTGAACTCCTTGTTTCATTATTCGGTGCATTAATATATACACAATTTCATTGAACAATGAATTTTGGAGATTCATTGTTACCTGGATCAATAATGATGACTCATGATAAATAGCGTAATTGTTTGTAAAATTCACTACATAATTATCATCTCTAAATTACAATTGAAAATATATTCATGAAATTTCATTTGAATTTATTTAACCTATTTAAATAAAGATGAATATATGTATACAAATACCTAAGTATAAATTGACGGATGCACTTTACTATGTAAGTCGATGGGATAATGATAACCTCTATAATATGTGATACGAGATAATAATATGCACATGACAGTAAAATAAAAAAAAATTCTACTTCATTTGTTTTTAATATTGTCTATTCGACCTTAAGATATTTGAGAAGCATGTGCAATAGACAATAGGGAGCATCTTTTGATATTGGGTAACAGCTGAACACCATGCGTTTGATGAGACAAAAGTTGCACATAATTTGGAGAAGAGAATATTCACTGCTACATTTCCTTTAGTGTTGTCAATGTGTCGAACATTGTGAGTGGATGGAAAACAATAAGAATCCTTTTTTGTGGATTTACACTATTCCGTTATTTAATCTGGATTAAAATTTAAATTAAAGTTAATAATTAATTTTAATTCATTATTCCATGTATAATGAAACAAAGTTCTATAAAGAGTAAATTGCGTACAAACAAATGTGCTTATTTGCACGTAAAACGAAGCAATGTTCTAGAAAGAGTAAATTTTGGGTAGACGGTAAGATCAAAATTCAAAATTTTTTATGAAACTAAGCAACCCTTAGAAGAGACTAGGTGCAAAGAAACGTAAATCATGACTATGCGACAATGTCAAGCTTTACGTCTAGTCGCGTTTTTTAGAATACTGATATAATGAGAGAACTTGTTAACAAAGATGAAAAAAAGAAGTATCGTGTTTTGATTTTGTTGTAAGACTCTTTTAATATGTCATTCAAAATCACTCTATTCGTTTATTATTCCAGTAATGTTAAAAATATTAAATAACAACCCATTCAAGTGTGTGGGGGCTATTCTCAGGAGGGGCATTTGCACGTGATAGATAAACAAGTAAAACAACAAAATTTGTTATGAGAAAGAAAAGAAAGAGTTCGATTGTGCTGTGAAAATGTGTTTGGATAAGCTTATCTTATCTTGTTTTCTAGGGTGTTGCATATATGTGAAAACTCAATAAGAAAATCGAATAGAAAATGATCTAATCACTGAGTCGATCAAGTGGAAATCTGAACTCTTCAAAATCGATATCCAAGAGTCATTTAAAATATGACTCAAAATATGCTAATTACCTAATTGTATTGAATGGATCTCAATTATTTGTTCTCAAGGGGTCCGGGATAGTCCTCTTCTACTTAGTTGTGATGAAAATTTGTAATGTGTATGGAAAAAAATGATAACATGATACAACATTGTTTCCTAAGAAGGAAAATAATTCATCATTTATTTCAAAAAATGTAAAATTATTTTTCTTGGGGTTTGTAGAACTATCATTGACTGATTATCCTAAGAAGAGTTCAAACCTTATTGTTTTAGAAATATTTACCTCAATTTCCCTATTGCATATCAAATAATGCACTGCATCCAATTGATAATTTTATTAAATATGAATTGACTCAATTGAGGAAAGAAAACTGAATAGATTGGGCCCTGACATATATCTGGGCTTTTGACCACTTAATTAAAGACTAAGTGGATTAATAGGCTTAGTTAAAATGTAGGCCCAATTACCCGAATTTTTATGCCCATAGTGTGACAACTCACGTCTTGGGATGGCAAAATGACTCGACCAAACTTCACCCCGAGTTATCTCCAGCATGGTGGGGTGGGGACATGAAAGGTCCTAGCTCCGTTGTGATCCTTACTTTGCTTCATTTAGCCCCTATTTGTTTCCCATATTTTCTTTATTAAATTGAAAAATATGGTGGTTATCTATTACATCAAGCCACCAAATTTGAATATCTATTTCTTGTGTAAAGTCCATAACGACTATAATTTTTCATTCTTATTTTTACATTAATGTGTACCAAACGGACTCTTACTATACGGGCTTCAAAAATGTGTCCTAATTTTTTTATGTTTGCTGAAATTAGAAAAGTACTGGAACGTACGAAATGATCGAGCATAATTTTATTGTTTTCTCTTTCTTATAATTGTACAATATTGTCAAATGTGATAAACTAAACATGTCCGTAGTGTATGGTGTATGCTCATGTACACTAATTCGAATGTTAGCTTTGCCAACATATCTAACTTTTCCTGCTAAATGTCATAATTCTTTGCAGAAACTATATTCTCCTGTGGGGAAAATGTTTATTCTTCAGCCCAATGAGAAGTCACCATTTACAATGCTATCGATGGACATGGAAACTCTAGTGACGCATATAGTTTACAATCAACCAAAACATTTACATCAACTACAAAGTTGCAAAGGTTCAATAGTAATCATTACAAAGTTACCAAATACAAACCCACGTTGAAAAGAAATCTCGTACAGAGAGAGAAGTTACAATAAAGATAGAAAACACATGGAGCTTCAAAATTATTATGGTGTCTCCTTAGATCCGTCATTTTCCTTCAGCAGCCATTTTCTTGCGTATCTCAAAAGCTGTATTAAAAATACCATTGGTCGGCTGGTTGCACACAAAGCACTTCTTACTTTTTGCATGGTGCTGTAAACAGAGAAATGAAGTCACAATTGGATAATATAAATATAATATGTACCTCTCTTTCTTAAAGTTTCAGGCACTACTTATTGCATGGTAATCAAGTAATATGAACAATGAACTGAAATCATTAGAAAAAACTGAAAAAGTAAAAAATAAAAAATTGATATGCACCTAGTTTTTTCAATGTAGTTTCTTTTCAAGCAGGTTGTTCCCCCACCCCCCAATTTTTTTTTTTTTTTTTTTTTTTTTGGGTTTTCTCCCCCCCCCCCCCCCTCTAATTTTTTTTTTTTTGGGGTGTGGGGTGGGCTAGGGTTGACGGATTGCTGTTATGATTGGTTAAACTCATTCAATAGAAATTGTGACTACAGTTCAAAAGGTTGAAATTAGACCAAAGGGAATCAAACATTGATGACAAAATGCAGCGATCTGTCATAAGTTTATTATACTTGCACTTCACAATGGAAGCAACAGGTGATGATAGACAACTCTCAGTAAATAAGGAGCGTCTTATTTAAATTTTTTTCTTCTAATAATCATGCATTAGTTTGTAGAAAGTCAAATAGCCAAGAAAATTCAAGAAATTACTGCAAATATTAAAATAAAAAAGATGTATCTGTTACCTTTAATGCACAATGCTCACAGAAGTAGTGCTTGCACTTGGTCTCAACAGGATCTACAAACGGCTCCCTACAAATAAAACATGCAAATGGCAGTGAATCATCATCGTCTTCATCACTCATCTCAGCACCCCCCTCATCATCATCCTTCATTCCCAAAGCCAAAGCTTTTTTTCTTGCCTTCTCTTTTTCATCCCAGTCTTTCTCAAGCTGCCAACCAGACTTGTAATCCCCCCTATCATGCATGAACTTGCATGAATCTCCATACCCACAATAGCCAGTTTCTTTATAATCTTTACAAATATCTGGCTGATAGTCAAATCTTGCTGAAACTCTAATGTGGGCGGAAGCTCTTAGAGGTCCATGCGCTCCACCAGCTTTCTCACTAGCAACAGTGTGCTCCCTACGGAACCCAGCCTTGTAATCAGTATACCCATGTATCCCCTTGTATAACTTTTCATCACCATCATTCTTTTTCTTCCCTTTTAGAGCCTCCTCAGATTTCTTTAGAACCCTCTCCCGAATAGCCCGCGCATCCCTAGAGAACTCTGTCTCAGTTTCCAACGTGGCCGTTGCTTTATTATCATTCTGAACCTGAATTTCCTTAGAGGACTCGTATTCAAAAACTGGAGCCCTTGTTTCTTGGTCAGACTCTGACATCATAGAACGTTTCACAGGCCCACTAGAGAAATGCAACTTATTGTCGAACACAGTTGGCTTCTTCTTATTGTGTATCACAGCACTCTCAGCTTTAGAATCTTCATCCTCATTCTCCCCCTCTTCCAGGGCAGTCCTTTTTCTAATATTTTTGCCCTTGGATGGCTTTCTGAAGAAACTGCACACTGGAAAACACAATTTTTTTCTAAGTAATTCCAAAAATTAAATAAGTAAAACGAACACAAAGTTCAATGAAAGAATGATTAAAACAAAAATTTCATAAAAACCCTTAAGATTCAAAAGCTATCCTCGTGAAATAAGTGGTGAACGCTATGGCCAACTCATTGATATGTTATACAGAGAATCCTAGAAATCTATTACTACTTATTTAAGTCTGCTAGTTAAACAAAATAAGTTTAGCACAGAAATGCACTCGATACTTTGAACATACTAAGTTTACCAGTTGTAAGGCAGAAAGGACGGTTTCATGTGGAATATAAAGCTATATAAGTTGAAGGTATCAAGTCATTAACCCCAGGGTTTGTATAATATCGTAAACTATCACACTTGTAAAATCCAGTTGATATTGTATATGAATTTTCATTATGTTGGCAACAAATGCGTCAGCAAATGCATGTCAAGTAACTCCTAAGCTATCCATTGAAGTTCAAAAATAATTAATTAATGGATTAAACATTAACACTGTAAAATTAATAGCAATAAAATGTGGAAAATATATTTCAATTTGTTTACAGTATCCTTCCATTCTAAGATATTCAGATACATGCAATTGAAACATCTCATGAAGTGGAAGCCTAATCAGAACAACAATTCTTGCTTAATTTGTCTACCTAGCTTACAACATAAAAATACAAACCAAAACTTCCTCTAGTCAAACTTATGTTACAGAAAACTAGAAGAAATATAATATCAAACTGTCAACCATTTTTAACCCCAGAAATTTGGATTCAAAGTTAATGAACTATTTTACTCACATCAAACTATCACAAACATCACACCAGCCACTATACAGAATACTCAAAACTCAAATACAGTAGAACAAAATGGGACTGGAAGAAGAAGAACGTCGTCCCATGGATTAAAAGTTGAAGACAGAACATTATAATTCTACCATCATTCAAAAACCATAATACAGCACTCCCTATATTGCAAGCCTGGTAAAGATAAGAACTTTAAACCAACAATTCGAAGTACGACGAAAGTAGAACCTAGTTCATTACTAAATTGATATATTTGATAGCGAAACAAAAATCATGATGCAAAATATCTCATTCCTACCGGCAATAAACAAACAAACAGTATTTCATCTTTTAATGCAACAAAGGTCTTTATCAATATACAGACTCATCAAGATATATATTTCTATTCACCAAGATATATAGTTCTAATTTAAATTCTTCTCTGAAAAGGTATTACAAGAAAAAGTGCAGTTTTTTTTTATTATCAGAAATTAAGATTTTTCTTTCAAAGAGTCAACCCTTGATACATCATTTCACTGCCACGTGAAATCCCCATCAATAATTTTTCCAATCCAATAACCAACAACACAAATTTCACAAGACGAAAATAAAACCATAAGAAGATGAAGAAATTAATTAAAAAAATTATTGTTTCCAGCAAGCACAGAGAAATAAAATCAAGAAGCAGAGTACTTTCAGGTATCTAAATATAAAAGAAGGCATTTAATTCGAAATTTTAATATGAAGAAGATATAGAAAAAAAAAAAATCAAACCTTGTTCAGATTGTTCGCTCGGATCTGCCATTGAAAAGGTATAGTTCTAGTTGTCTTCCAAGTTTTATAGCAGTGATTTTGTAATGAGCAGAGACGGCTGCGGTCAGGATCGGATCCAGGATTTTCAATGAGGGTGGCTGAAACATAAGAAAATCAACAGTGAAATTCATATTCAATAAATGGGAAACTTCTTTTGAATCCTAAGATGCCTATCCCATCCTTAATAACTGAAAAGTTAGAATCTTGGATTCGGTCTTAGTTCTATCTCTTATTCCATAAACTATTTAACTCCATAAAACAAAGTAGAGATTGCTGAAGCCAAGAATGCTGCCAATTGGAAATATTTCAGACTGAGTAACCATCATTTTGAACTTGTAAATCATAAGGATCATTTATTTTTTAGCACAAAAAGAAAGAATTATTTTAGTGCTACCAATTAAACAATCCTGGAATTGCATCATTTGGAGATGATAGGGACTAGGGAGCGGTTAGAGATATAAGCAATCTAGAATATAAGATAATGCTTATGATCTTATATTTCAGGAACCTAGAACACAAGACTCGTACTACACACTGCATTTTCAATTATTAGATATTAAATGGGCATCAATAATCTGCCAATATTACGAAGAATAACCACAAAATGAGGGAAAGATAATATAGCACTAATTCATTTAATTATACATCGGAAAATCATTCATCGTGTGTTCCGAACTTCTGATAACATGTTTTAATGTTGCAGAAAATGCAGTGCCTAAAACTTTTATTGAAAAAACAAAGAACCCAGAAAGTAATATATGCAGACGTAGGAAGGAAAAAATATTACTTGCAACTAAATCACTATTTTCACTGTCATAAACAATGGCCTCTTTGAATTGTACAGCTTGAGCGCTTCTGACTTTATCATCAAAGCCTAATTCCAGAAAGATAATCTTTATCCTTACAGTTAAAATTAAATAAAGGAATTGATAAATTTATATACAATTGCAACCCAAAGTTCGGCCATCCACAAATTAGCTCACAAACCCCCCACCCAAAATGGCCAAACCAGATACCCCCCCCCCCAAACCCCAAAAACCCAAAAAAAAAACT